TGGGGGTTAGTGTAAGTACTGGTAGAAGCAATGCAGAGAGACTCGGGAGACAACGGCAGTGTTGTGCTCTCTCTCTTCAAAACCAAGGTCGAGAGATAGCGAGAGATAAAATGGTGAAGGATGGACAGTTGGCGGGGTGGTGGGTCAATTATGAACTGGCTGGGTAGTGAAGCCTTAATTCCATCTTTTGTTACTGGCATAAACATCTTCCCCACAGCCCGAGAAAAGAGACAACCACATTTCATTCATCTGCTCTAAAATTTCTCCAAATTTCATCTGGCCTTTTACAGTGTGGAGATAACTTGAACAACCAGTAGATTCATTGGACATTCATTATGAATAACACAGACAGTGTTGTTATGTTGTTGGTGTCCACAGGAATGCTGACCAGGGAATATTTAAATATTCCCATGTCAACTTCAGATATTAAAACCATGCTTATGGGATGTCCCACTGTGTATTTGCTGTGCACAGCACTCACATGTACTCTAATTTCCCCCTGCCCTGCCAGCATGAACAACACACACACAATTACAAACACCTGGCTATATTAGTCCTGCCTTCATCCTGTGGGAAATCAGTAAATAAATAAATTACTCTGGCCCTTAATAACAATAATTGATGTGTCAGTGCAATAAGATGTGAGGTTAACAACCTGCAGATGCAGACGGGCTAGAGCGTCCTGCTCCTCAGCTCCTTGTGGGCAGGATAGCCCAGCTGGTCATGGTTCGCTTGCCACAGCAAGCCCATTCTCCACACCAGGCAGAGACCAGACGGACAGCCCGGCAGGACATACACAGCACAGCAGTATGGACCTGACACTACACAGACCAACCATACATCCATTTTGAGTCTTATTTCAGCTTTCAGTCCTCTGAATTGGTAACTTGTGGGTTTTGTGATGTGAAGGTGTGACCAATCATGTAAGGCACAGTTGAGGAATGATTGGATATTGATGTGAGTTGTGCACACTGCAGCACCTGTGAATCTGATTCATCTTGGGGAGGAATCTCATCTGCTGCTCTGAGTTGCTGTAGGTCCACAGCATGTCCATCTTTTAAGGGGGGAAGCATGCATTATAAAGGAGGAACATGACTGTTAAAAGGGCACTGTCCACTGCTTCATAAAACATTCAGCAGTGGAATAATCCTTTGTATTTTTGACCCAGAGAGTCAGGCCAGTGTGGTACTGTGTGTGGTTGTTGTGTATGTTTCACCACCACTGTTTAGCAGATTGTGTGTGTTATTACTGCCTTAAGACAAATTCCTCTAAATGTTGTTAATGCTTCTATAGTCTTGTATTCATCTGAAGATTTGCTCCTCTTGACAGCAGTTATTACTCATTTAAAAGCTTCACATCATGCATGACAAATATTTATTAAGTACCATTTTATCTTTCATACCATCAGAAACATATAGTAGAATACTTTTCAGACCTGTACCCTGGCACACCAACCAGGTTGAAAAGGGCTTTTCCTGTGCTGCAAAACACCTCAATGCTATTCAGAGGTTTCCTACTGGCTTGGTCTGTGAATGCACAAAACCACACCATGGGTGTGATGGCCAGCTCCTGGCATGCAATCATGACTTTTCCTTCCTCCTCATTTATTCTCCCATTTTACTTAAAATGTCTGAGAACCATAATTCTACAAAGGTGGATGGCCGAGCGCCCACTCATACATATTGTAAAATATGTACATATTTCTGGCAGGCTGTCTGTAGTTAATCAGATCCTGTTTCATCTATGAGACCAGACACTGTGAGACTTTGCTGTTTTCCCAGTGATAGAACATTAAGTCTTTGAATGCACCCGCACACGTCCACACAAAATTAAACAATTTGCTCAAAGGTTTTGCTGTTAGGCCATACACCTGCTGATAATGAGAATAATGTTGTCATTGATTCTGTGAAAAGTGAAGCTGACAAGTGAAATTGCTTCCGCTTATGATGCCACATAGGTCATAGCAGAAGACGTTTAAAGTTATATATCAGAGGATATTATTTTAATGCTATATTTAGATGTTTAAGAAACAGATTTCTGCCTTGTAATTATGGCCGGAAATCCCACTGTCACTCTTAACTTAGTGTGCATATATGTCATGAATGTTCAAACAGTCAAGCAGATGGGTTTTCCTACTAACATGCTCTGCTGTGATGGAGGATCTGGAAGAGGAAGCGTACAGGGCAGGATCACAGGTGAAAACAGGCAGGGCAGCTTTGTAGCCTGCCATCCTTCTTGTTTCAACAACATATGGGGGCCAAGTGGGGTCAATGCACATTGCACATGTGAGCACATAGCCAATCTCCGTCTTTTCCCTGCCCCCTTACACAGATACACACACACACACACGCACACACACACACACACACACACACACACACACACGTGCGCGACTGGATCACCAGTCTTGGCTTGGGGATGAAAAAAGGGAAATGCCAGCATCAACAGATGCCTTGTGCTTCTGATCTGGAGGGGCTTCTGATTTTTCTCCCTCCCTTTGAAATCCATGGTTTCAGTGTGCTGTTGTTCTCCATGTTTGGCTTAGCATTGCTCTGCCATTTTGGCAGGATTTATTTATCTGAAAGTGTTAGAGTGAGAGGGCCTGGATTTGGTCTCAAGAGCCTTGGGGACAAGGGTTGGGTGTTTAACCAGCCTACAGTGTTTCTGTGGTCTGAATGGTTTTCTCCTGGATTTCAGTTTTTTTGTTTTTTTTTTGTTGCTGCTGTGTTGTGACCAGTGGTACGGTGCATCCAACATCTTCCACTCAATGTATTCCTCTCACATAGTGGTGCCAAGGTAGTACCTTAAGAAAATCCAGCTGTGTTTTGTCCTGGGCTGGCAGAGACAAGAGCTGTGGAATAGTTTGGTATTGTATGGAATCTTCAGTTTGAATAATGGCTCTGAATGAATGTCTTAAAGTAAAGCAGGTGACCACCCTGATAAGGACTGAACGACCCTGATAAGGACAGAACGGCCAAAGGTCTTTGGTGTATAAACCATGGTGTATTGACAAAGAGGTGTGAGATAATCGTTTTGATTGGTTCTAATAAATTCCAGGGTGTAGTTCAGTTAGTGCCTATGAGAACAAGCCTAAGATTTTCCATTGATAAAGCAGGTGAAACATTTTTAAAAAGTCACAGAATCTGTAACATGTGCACTGACCCCAAAAATAATCTGTAAAATCACTTTAAATGTGTGATTTACATTACTACTCAGATTAATTTAGAACTGAAACAGCTACTGTACCATGTCTTTAGCCTCATGAATAGAGTGCAATAAATCATGTCATGCCTAGCAACCACTGACAGCGTCAAGACGTTAAGATTCCACTTCATGTATACAGTGTTATAGTTCCGTGTTTAGACATGGGAAAATCAGCTTGCCAGAAACAAACACACCAAGGCCAAATAAGTAGGAACTAGAATTACTGCTTAATAGTTGTATGCCTCTGCCAACAGTCAAATTCACGAGAATGGACAGATGTGAAGTTACTGAACCTGACCTTTGACCTTTGGCCATCAAAATCTAATCAGTTCATCCTTGAGTCCAATTGGACATTTGAAGAAATTCGCTTTAGGCATCCCTGACATATCACATTCAAAAGAATGGGACAAATGCGAAGTCACAGTTACCTTAAGCTTTGACATTTGACCACCAATATATAATCAGTTCATCCTTGAGTCGAAATGGATATATGTGCAAAATCTGGGAAGATTCCCTCAAGGTGTTCCTGAGATAATACGTTCACAAGAATGGCCCATACAAACACACAGACAGGTGGATGGACAGACAACCTGAAAATATATTGCCTTTGGCCATGGCTTTTGCTGGCGTGGAGGAATTACAAGTTAAAAACAAGAAGACACAGGACAATAAGACAAGAAATGCCTTACTGGTAACTGCAAAGAGTGCAAATTAAGTGATCTTATTGCACATAGTAAATAGAAATGTGTGAATCTATTGCCCCTGGCTCTGGGGTGTCTATACAGCTGCTCTAAAATAAGCAGTTCAGATTCTTTACTTAGGGGTGGCAGGTATCAGTAGCAATACCAAATGACCAGGAAATAAAACAATTTGTGAGATATATTCACTATCATTGCAGGATTTCCTGTTTCAGGCTAGACAGAGATGTATGTCCCATGAGCTGGTGACTGCACGACCTGCTAGGCTGAAGCTGAATTCTGCATTGCATAGTGTTAGCAGCTGTGTGGCCAGAGTGGTGACTTTGAGGTCACAGGTTCAAATCCTTTGAGGATGGTTAGCCACAGATATGCAGGGAACAGTAGGCGGGTGCAGCATCACCTTGTTGCCCTTGAGATTTCTCCTGTCAGTTATGATAAACACTTCGCTGGGGGATCACATATTGGTTCGGGGGGTTGGCAATTACACATAGTGTCAGTGTCATAAATAATGATTACAGCAAGGC